GGGCGGATACCCTTGTAAGGGTATTCGCACCGACAACTTACCGGACCATATTAAGCGGCGTCCCCGTCGCTTCGCAAGATCGAAAAGCTATAAATCCATCCAAAACTCCAAATGCTGTCGAGAAAGGAATCAATCCGATCAGCCGACTAACTCAAGTTCGAGGTCTCCATCAATCCATTCAAAACACAACTTTATGCTGCCAGGATTCCAACATGGGCCTCCATCGTCCTGAAACTAGGACAGTGGGATACTCATCACTATACTACAACATAAGTCCTAAATGGATTCCTGAACTGTCCTCTCCCCTTTGTCCTAGACAAACGTCGGTTTCTCGTTAGGTGTCTCTAGTCTCTACCCTGTAAGCAAGGTCATAACCAGGGACGAGGGCCCTAACCGAGACCTTTGAAGACATTATTGCCGCCCTCCCAACAATTCTCACAATCAAACATATAATTTTACACAAATCTCATCATAAACTCTTTCTGCCGTCTAGTATAGGAAGGTCAGGTGTCCATCCTGGTCCACCATAGTCTGGGTGATCGTACTAGATCTACGACCCATCGCATTTGTTATTTTAGCGGTAGTGCCATAGTAGGTTGCACCACAATAGGTTTTTTCCTGATAAATATTCAATCGCGACTAAAAAAAAAGACTCGACTTTTATCCCACGTTATCCCGCAGCAGGTAAAACCCTCCTGGGTGACCACACCCCTTTAAGTTTTTACCCCTTCTGGGGCCCACTGTTCAGGTTACACCGATCAGAAGCCGACACTAGGGGTTGCGTCCTAGCGATGCTGAACTTTACCGGTAGTTTGGTATTCTCATAAATGCCCCAAGATTAGCACAAGTGTCTGGACAGTGTGTCGCAACAATACAGACCTACAGCGGGACTGCGCAGTCCGCGCAGAGGTATGCCACACATAAAAGGTATTTACCAGTCCTCTGTGGGACAACACAAAGAAACACGACAACTTCTCCACTGTCACAAAACAAAATCACCGCCAGGTTCATAAGGTCATGACCTCCCTACTTAAAGTTGATCAGAGCAAGAGGATCACTTCTCAGTGACATCTCTACGCCCTGTCCACCACCTTGGCAAACTCTTCTCTGGCAGCCCTGTCATCCTCATCTTGAGGTTGCCGCCTCAAGTCCTGGATGATGGTAGCTTGACTAACCACCAAATTCACCAATGCCCTGAGCTCTCGGACCTCAGCCTCAACCGCCTCCAGATGTACTCCATGACTCACTTCCTTCATCTTCTTCTCGGCCAGATCATCTTCCAACATCAGATACCTATCAAAGGATGTCTTGGCAAGGAAGCGGATCTTTCGGTCCAAATACTCATCTGCTTTCCTTGAAGTCCCAATTTTTCCGACAACCCCTTGCCATGCTGGTCAAGGAACTCGTCCCACATCTCCTTAATTTCGTATGGCTTAGGTGGTGATGGTTGATCTGGGAGTGCCCCTACCTCCTCTAACCTCTGTCTTTCCTGCTAGATTTCCTCCAAGCGTTTTCCAACTCTAGCCCGTTTTTCCTCAGCCGTCTCCCCTGCTGGTATTTTCTCCCTCGTGCGATGGTCGGCTCTCCCCGGAACCTCAACTCCCATCTCCCTCTCTGCCTGGCGTGGCTCCTGGGGTGACTCCATAGACGCGGGCTCCTCCAGGTCAGGGTACTCTAAGGCGTGTGCAACCAGATGTCTGTCAATCATAGCAAGGGTCTTTCTCCTCCGGTCGGCTCTCTCTCCCTCCATCTCTACCCTCACTCCTCACGATGGGACCATCCCTGATGGTGGTAGTGGGGTCTCCTCCTGCCGCAATTCCTCCTCTTTGTCGTGTACTCCCCTTGGCATACTTCCCAGTCTCAATCCCACAGTCGGCGCCTGAGGAGGAGTATCCTCTCCGACCTCTATCACCTCCTCTATAGCATGTAACATGTTATTCGTTAAAATAGGACATTATATTGTGTCCTATTTCAAACGAATTCATTTTTTATTGCAGTCTAAGCAACGTAGGAACGCCCATCCAGAGCTTAACCACATGCGAAAGTGTACGGAGATCCACACTTGTTAAACTGTATAAGAGAGATCCCAAATGGAGAAGCGTGCTGAGATCCATACTTGTTAAAGTTCATACACAAATAACAATAGGCATGCCCACCCATCCGGGAAACCTGTGTGGAAGTGTGTTGGGATCCTTACTTGTTAAACTTCAAGTGCATAAATGTGATGAGTCTTGTGTCATGACTGCATCCTCGTTGGATAATATAATTCTTTAGGTTATCCCTAAGTTGTACAAGCATGTCCATCATCTCGCTTCAATCGGTTGACAATGTTTGGATGTCCGACGAGATCCGGGTTACTAAGTCTTCTTTAGAGGAATTGGGGTAACGATTGGCACGGCCATCCGAGAAGCTTATTGCGGAAGTGTGTTGGGATCCATACTTGTTCAACTTCCAATTTACAAATATGATGAACAAGGTGTCACGATTGAATCCTTGTTGGACAGTACATCTGTTCAAGTTGTCCCTAACTTGTGCAGGCATGCCAATCATCTCGCTCGAGACGGTTGTTTGGATGTTGTTGAGGTCCAGACTTCTTTAGAATACTTAGTTTGAGGATGGACACACCCATCATCTCGGCCAATATGAGGAAGTATGCTGAGATCCATACTTGTTTACAATAATTGTGATGAGCAAGGTGTCATGACCGTATCCTTGTTCGGCAAGTAGGCTTTGAACAATGTGACATTTGAAACTTCAAGTCATATAATAGTTACAGCAGCAGTCTAAGTACAAGCAGTTAATTTTGATATACAATGTTTTTTTTCTGGGCACGAATGAAAGTTTTCGGTTACTTATAACCTAGGCGGTCACAAGTATGTGATTCTATGTGCACACAAGAGATGTGATGTTGGTGGTTTTTGACTCTTTGCATAATGAACCTCACACTCACACACTCGTCGAGATTTGTCGTGCATCCACACACGAATTCGTCATGTCGCACTACACACCAATAATAATTTGAGGTTAATTATATGTACAACTTTGGTTGACCTGGACACAATTTGAAACGAGGAATGTAATACGATGAATTTAAATGCACGAGAGACAAGCGGGACCTGACAAAGATTTGAAAGTCAACACGTGACGCCATACTGGTAGTGAGCATACCAAAGACAACTGAACTCGCAACAGTAAAATAAAATAATGTCGTTGTGAAATCGACAGTTAAACAATGTAAGGATTAAAAAAATGTAATCACTAAAAAATGAATTATTCTCAAACGAAAGTTTCCAAATCAATCGAATTCATCAAAGACAACGGCGTTCCAAGATACACGATGCCAATTGCCGTCTAATATGCAAAATATCTTTACAAAAGAACCTGAAAGGTGGTCGATCACCACGTTGTAACAGTGTCGCAAACATCAACATAAACACCCCGCAACTAACTCCATCCACTTATCTTGGAACTCCCTCCACAACAACATTTGTTGCTACCGACTTCCAACTCTTAACTGACCGCCTATGTAATATTTGACGTTCCAAATACAAAACAATCAACTCAAAAACATTAAGGTAAAAACTAGAATCAGCTACAACGTGAGGAAAAGAATCAAAAATTTTAAGAACATTATCTCTCAAGTTGACGGAAAGGAGGATCTAGTGATCATTATCTTTGTCGACAGGAACAAAGATAATATCATATTGAAGCAGATCCACGTTTTTAGCCCACCTTTCCACCCCGTCGAGTCTCTGAAGCCGCAGTTTACTGAAGAAAAACGAATTAAAGTTGAAGTCGTGAAGGCCAAATGAGATGTCACATATTGCAAATGCGGTCGTCCCCAATAGCGCCATGTAAAAATTGACCACCTCATCATTCACCCTGGCGTCGACATGCGAGAGGGAGAGAAGATCTTTTGTTGCAATGCACAACTGACCATCGCCGAGGGTAGAGAGAACAGTGTCAGGTGGCTCCGAGCCTCGTTAAGTGTCGTCCAAAACCCGCAAGCTTCAAGGCGCGACCACTGCATCGAATCTTCCCCCTCGTGTTCCAAGTGTTGTGGCCCGCACTGCACAACATCGAGCAAAGTACACGTGGGGTACTAAGAAACGGATTTCTAAGGATTCTCCTTCATTGCGCAACATGTAGCTAAGTATTTCTCATACATGGCTTGACCCCTGGTCACAGATCGTGGATATGTCCCTTTCTCTGGGGGCAGAAGGGAAAGACACTCCTCAATGGCAATGGCATGCTCCTTCTTCCCGATCTCGACATCAACCCCTGATGCCTTTAACATATTCATGTGTTTTATCGCCAACCCCGAGACTGTCTGCAATATGTGTTCCAGATATTTCGAGGGCCTCCGTTTTCGAGATGATCCTACCCCTGTACAATAGAAGAAAGACAAAACGAAAAATGAACACGCGTTTCCCAACACGAACCCGACGAAAATTACAATTTAAGAGCCACGTAATCTAAAAAACGCAGGACCTATCCAATTACAGAACCCCGCTTTGTCATGACAACGAGTACGTACGTGCATGAGCCCGGCCGGAAAACAAAACGACTATCGCATTCGAGCTCTACACCCCCGTCCTTCAGAAAGAAAAAACATAACAAGCCACAGAAGCGGAAGCAAAACATCCCCGAAATCCGGATTCCCACGGACTTTCACCCAATCAACTAGCACAGTGTCACAAAGACTAACCGCATTACGCATCGACATTGGAAGTGTGGATCCCGGCGGACTAAAACCACCACTCTTTCCGAGTTAGAAAAAAACGTCATTCCATTTCGTGAGGGAACGCTCCAACAAAAACACACATGTTTTTGTTGCATTATACCCTGCACGCGACGAGCGACCTAGCCGACTCACAGGAAGGTCGATCACATGTACTTGGAAGGAGTTGTGGTTGTAGTATGCCGGCATCATGCATCGACAGTCACTGCGGTCACTCCTTGTGTGTATGATACTGAAGGTAGTCCGCCGACATCCGGACTACGAAGGAAGCCGCACTCTTGCTCTTGGAAGCCTAGGCGCACAGACAGAGTGGTGTTTCTCACAGCTTACCAGCCGATTTGTCCCTCCGCTCCTTCGTCGGTGAAGTTGTAGCGGGCAAGGCCAGCACGTCAAGAGCTTGAGTGTCGACCCTAGATTTCAGCAGCGAGAAAGCGATGGCAGATGCCGCGGCAGGTTTGATGTTGAGAGGATCGTCGACATCAAGCGTCGTGGACAGCTGCGCGGACACGTGGTGGTCGTCGACGTTTATACGGCCACTCGGTTTAGACAGGCTCACAACAACAGGAGCCTCGTTGAACCGGTGTTGGAGATCGACAACATACGTCAATGCTTGGACCTCATAATCATCACGTTCTGTCGAAAGGTTGCTGACCACCTGTGTCTCCATCTCCATTGTCGTCTCATCATCGTCGTCATCTTCCATGCGATGTTCTCCGTACATCAGCCCGAATCCGTCAGACGACTCCCAGATCTGGCATCGTCGTCAGTATCGACGTCCCCTTTTTCCCCCTCCTTCCCTCCAAACAACTCACCCAACTCCGTTTCTCCCCCTTTCTCTCCTTCCTCCCCTTCCTCCCCTTTTTCCTCCCCTTCCTCCCCTTCCTCTCCTTCCTCCCTTTCCTCCCCTTCCTTCTCTTCCTCCATTACCCCGCCTCCTTCCCTTGCATGCAACCCAGCCACTTCTCCCGAACCCGTGTCGAATTCCGACGACTGCCCTTCTGGCTCCACGCACGCAGCCCCTCCCACCGGCACCACAATCCCTAATCCCCCCCCCCCTGCCTGAAGAAGTTTGGATCCCGGCGAACTTCGTCGTCTTCCTGTCACCGGGCCCTCCACATGTACCCTCTCGCTCCAACCGAAAAGGTCGTCGCTCCCCCTCAGGCGGCGCATTCCCGTCCCTCACCGCACCGCTGTCAATTGTGGGACCATGACTCGGCACCCCGCTCCCGACCAGCTCTGCGCGGCCGACCTCTGTGTCCGCTCCTCAACCATTGTAGTTCGGATCCTAGTGGCTGAGCCGGCACGGAGAGCAACCAAGGCTGCCATCATCTCCCTCACCGAGCTGGCGAATGAAGTGGGCACGTCGGCGGACTGTGTCGAGCCCTCCGGACCGGGACCGGTAGAGACTCCTTTGCCACCCGCCGCCTTGTCGCCCCCCGTCCCCCCCACCGTCTGGTCCCCAGGCCCCTGAACTCCCGTGCGTCCCACTGGGAGGGGGGATTTTTCAGTCCACCATCCCCTTCGAGGGGCTCGTATCGAGGTCGTAGTAGTCTTCTGTCAGTTCCAACCAGCACTTTTCCTGAAGTTCATCGAACAGTCGTCCGGTTGTGGAAATGACGGACACGTCGTCGGGTGCAAACGAGTCATTCTCGACCCTCACTTTTTGAAGGACCGAAATCCTAGCGAGGTCGAGGAAGTTAGACTTCGACTCGCGAGGGAGGGGCATCCATCCTCCGCCCGGGACTGCAACGACCATGATCCACTCGCCCTTTTGGGTCGCCGGCTAGATGACTCCTGGATGCCAAATCATGTCATGTTTGCAGTCCACCTCAGGCGAATGACTTTGCGGCTCAGCAAGGAAGTGAATGTTATCATCCTTACAAGACAGATGATCGGGCGGGATGTCAGACCTGGGACACAATGCGCAATGGCCGGAGGCCAGAGCTTTCAGTCTCTCCAACAACTTCATCGGGGTAGTGTCAGGTGCCAGTTTCGCCATCCGTGACACGAGGGATGCCGGGCTTGTTGACGGACCTGCCAACGACGACCCTGGGGCGTGCTGCGCAGGAGGTGGTAGTACCGCAGGTCCAGGCTCTCAGTGTCGTTGTCCTCCTCGTTCGCGTTCGTGTCGAATTCGATGTCGGTGATCTCCTCGTCTTCTGTGGAGATCAAGGACGTGTAACTGCCGAACGTCAACTCCTCCTCTGACTCCACGAAGTACAGCGACTGCAACCTTTCGAGGAATGTCTTCGCGTTCATGCGGGAGGCATCGTGGTAGTTGTCGAGCACCGTGAACACGTGGTCCATGCGGCGCACGTACTCGGCGTCGGTGTCCTTCTTCGGCCGCGTTTGCAGGAACAAGAAGTCGTATATCTTGTTCCGCTTCCTCTCACTCAACTTGAACCACATGTTCGTCTTGTTGTTCCTCGACCCCGTGTCTCCTTGACGACCCTGAACTCACAATTGTGAGCCTCCGAATTGACCTCGTTTTTTACGAGATCAATTGCAAATTGCAACAGGTCGGAGTTCCCTTCCATCGCGACAACATGTCGTCTTGCCTTCAGTAGATCCCACACGGATCGCGCATGCGGCTTCCCAAGGAAGGCGACACCCTCTCCCTTCTTGTTGTCGGATTCAAGAAGATTAACGAATTGCGTGGGGTTGCGTTCCATGTCCTCGTACAGACTGCCCCGACGTGCAGGCGAGGTATGCGACCAGTTGCAAGGCGTGAACGGAATCTCGGACACATCCATTTGCATAACCTTCTGTGGCAGCCGCACTGCAGCAGCGGCGCTTGCCGGCAGTCTTCCCTCGTAAACGATGGACGTGTTCGCCCGCAAATCGTCACCCTTGAAGAGGATGTACATCCGGTCGTCTTCCGTGTACAAATTGCTCCCAACGGGGAAGTTTTTTTTAAGCTGACTCCTCCTCACCCACTTCCCTTCTAGCAGCTTCACGAAAGAAAGATGGTTCATGCTGGCCAAAAACGAGAGGTTCTGCTGCCGCGGCACGAAAACGACGAGCGTCCAATGCGACGGACATCACGTCTGAAGTTGGGAATCCAGAGTGGCAAACGCTTGCGGTTTCTACATCTTCAGGTCAACCGGTTCGCAGAGATCGAGGACGAACATGTGGCTCTTTGTGGCAGCCACTGCCTCCTTCACCTCCGCACTCCTGATTTCCGCCTCCAAGGGGTCGTTGCCGAAGGGCGCGATGGATGTCACGTCGCCCGTGTCTTTCCATTTTATGTGCACAATGCCTTCGGCAAGTGCGATCTCGCGACTTTTCAGTCTGCTGCCAGTCAACACGGATAGAACCTTGTTCCTCCAGTCCACGGACAACTTCCTGTGACCGGCCAACTTCTCTGTCGCCTCAATCGAGGTGTCGTCGTCGCAACCCATGTAAGGCGGGCACTCCTTGAACAGCGAGGAGTCAGTGACGTATTTCCTGTTGCCGTCCCACAACTCAGCATCCAATCCACGACTCTCCAACTGCTTGAAAATTGCAGACCTTGTTTTCAGGAACGGGTACCGCTGGATCCAATCCGCATCCGGCCTCTTCTCGTGCTTGAACTGGTAGTAGTTCCACAAACGTACTAGCACGCGGTCGCACTTCACCAAATGCACCATCTCCTGCACGCTCAACTTTCCCAGCTTCGCTAACGCCGGGGAGCCGGCCTGGGCCCAAACCACCTCGCAAGCGAGCACCTTCTTCAGGACACAATACTTCTCGTTGTCGGTTAGTGGCTCCATCGCTTTCCAACAATGTGTGTCCGGCTCAGGCACTTGCACGAACCAGTCGCCCTCCTCTTTCTCCTTTGCCTTTCTTCGTTGGCAGGTCCAGAGGGACGGTGTACACGACCTCCTTCCTGCCCAGCTTTTTGTTGTTGATGTAGGCAACACCGGGCTTCACGTTTTTTACCTTCTTTTTCCTCACGATCCACTTTGCGTCGTCGTGGCCGAGCAATCTACCTGTCTCCCATCTCTCGAAAAACTCAACGGCCAGTTTCCATACGTTCTCTCGTGCCATCGCTAGTGGGAAATAGGAACGCAGGGCAACATTTTGCTTCTTGATAGCGTCCCCCCCCTTCTGATCCGCCAGAATCCACAAGTTGTTGTACGGCGTCTTATCGAGCGAGAACGTACAAAATTCACGCCATTTCTGAACCTGATCATGTTTTCCGCTGGGGTTCCCCATAACAGCTCTCGGGTAACCTCCGTGCTTCCACTACCACCGAATGTCTTTCATTGACAGCTTCAGCTGTCTTGGGGGCGCCTTCAGGTCCTTCTTCTTGTCCTGGGAACTGACAAGCACCCTTCGAAGTCGTCGTCCGAAAAGTACACCATTCGTGCAGGCCACCGCTCGAAATTGTATTTCCTGGCCACCTCGCTGCAGCCGCGTTGTGTTGCCCGCACACCTCGTAGTAGTAGTACTGCCCCACCAGCTCATCCCTCCATTCCTCCGGCCTCAGGCGTTGTGCCTCGACCACGGGAGTCGGTTTCTGCAGCCCCGGCGTTGCCAGCTTCAGGGTTGGCAACTCATACGACTGCTCTTTGTTCTCGAACGCCAACCGCATCGCTTCTTTGATACCTTCAACGAGGACGGGATCCAGGGACCGCTGGTTGTACAGATCCTCGCACTCCCCGAGGTCGACGACCTGCGCAGGGCTAATGTCGAACTCCCGCTTTGTCCTAATATCGTCTTTGTACTCGAGGAAGTTCTCGGTGTCGACGTCAATGGGAGGCCTTGGCGTCGGTGGAGAAGATGGTCCAGACGCAGGCTGCTTCTGTTTTGAACCCGGACGTTTGGTATCTTGTCGGCCCTGCTCTCCCTCGGTCCCCTTGCATTTCTCCCCTGCAGTCCTCGGGGCCCTGCTCTTCAATTTCTTCGAAGAGTCGGCCAACTCGTCAGCACGATCTCCCCTCCTCTTTTGCGGAGTGCCTTGCGTGCCTACGCTGCCTGCGGTTCCCTCCTCTGCACCCTGACCCTTGGTAGTCTCCAAGTCGACCTCCGAAGAGGCCGCCACCACTCTCCTCTCGAACCGGAGCGTCAGCTAGGACCCTAGGAATAGACAACACTGACCGCTGCGTGTCCCTCAACGGCGATGTCGTCATCTGCGCAGGCCCCTCATCCTTGCTGTCGTCGAATTGACCACGGCTCTCGCGATGATGCAGCTGAGTAGCGGGACCAGAACCCAGATCCTCCCCCTCCGGCACTGGCCCGCTGGATTCGTAACCGCTGCACAACTGCACCAACAACTAGAGCTCTTGGGAGAGGCCGACGTCGCAGGGGACGTCGAAAACGGTGTTCTTTTCCTCCAATATGTCGAAAAATTCACGCGCCAAAACAAAACCCCCCGCGAGAACGAGTTCTCTGTGGAACGGGGTGTTCACAGCACTCGCTTCGAACCCCTCACACAATTCGAGGTCCAACAGCACCCCCTTCGAATTGGCAACGACGTTACCCTTGGCGCCATAGACGTTTTGCATATAGAAATATCGTCGTCCCCCCTTCGCATCCTCCCACCGCAAGACGGCCCCAAGCACTCTACGTCTTTTGTTGTCATTGAGGAAGATGACATGACCACATGGCTGCGCAACGGGGTTGGAAGCGTCTCCACAACAGCAGTCGATGAACCATTTCGACTTCGAGTGGTTCGACCACGATTTCATGCCAGTAGACGACTGCCTCGTGGAATCTTTTCCTCATTCCCTCCCGGAGGTCCCGTCTGGCTCCCCCTCGCCCCTCGACGAAGACATCCTGTCTACGAACGACAACGCAAATCAAACAACGCACCACGCGATCAACGTTTGGCAAAACACAGCAGCAATGGTCCGGTCATGGCGAAACCGCAACGCAGGCTCTGCCGAAGCGCATTCCGCACACAAAGACCCTTCGGCACCCCAGTTCGGACAGGTAAGCACGCGAAGTTCGTCGGGATCCGAACTTCAAGAGGGTGGGAGAGTGCGAGGCAGAGAGAGAGAGGGAGAGAGGCCACATGAAAATTTGCAGTGTGCCGGCACATGAATTCGTTCTGGTTTCCGGTTCGGCAACAGCTCGATGCAGCCAGCGTTCGAAGGCCGTACTCGTGCAAGCACATTCGGTCACTGCATATGGGCAGAAGGAGAAGTTCGGACGCGCGCGAACCAGGGCTGTTCATGCGAGCCACGGGGTACCAGGAAGACCACAGACAGACCAGCGTACAACCGAAAACGAGAAGTTCGCCGGGATCCGAACTTAAGGAGGGTGCGATAGAGAGAGACGGTGAAAGAGACACAAGATCCACTATTCTGTGGATCTTAAACTCAATGAGGATCCAAGAAGTGCACACTCACATCAGAGGCCAGTTGGAAATGAGAAGTCCGCCGGCATCCGAACTTCTTCTGCTGACCATTGTGGCGCTCTGTGTACTTTGGCACCGGATGGAGCCAAGTTCGAACGCAGGAGCTGGGCCAGCATGTTGTGCGACCCTATTCAGGCATACTGAGAAGTCTAGATTCGGGCGAACTAGGGCTGTTGTTGCAATCGACGGGGGATCAGGAAGACCACTGCCAGTTCAACAAGCAGGAGAAAACACGAAGTCCACCGGGATCCGAACTTAAGGAGGCTTCGAGAGAGAGACATAGAGAAGGACCGAATCTGAACTCGTGTGGTTATTGAAAACCATATGCAGGAGGAATCCAAACGCACGCCGGAGATTAGATGGGAATGCATGGTCCGACCAAGGTGCACAAGTAAGACCACAACCAGATCAAAGGTCAAGTGGAAACGCGAAGTTCGTTGAGATTCGAACTATGCGATTGAGAGACAGAGATAAAGAGATGGGATCTGCAATTGCGTGTTAGGTGAAATCCACGGCGCATAGGAAAACCAGCGTATCGTCGGAGGTTATATGAAAATGCGCAGTCCGCCACCCTCCAAACTTGTTTGGTTGCCCCATTTCGCAATATGTTTAGTTCGAAAGCGGATGCAGCCAACGTTCAAAGGTCGGACTCGATGAACCATTTCGGTTATCCCGCCAGGGCAAAACGCAAAGTTCAGATCCGGGCGAACTTGTGTTATTGTTGCGATCCACAGGGCTTCGGAAATACCACAGTCAGAATACAAGGCATGTGAAAATGTGTAGTCCTCCGGGACCCAACCTTAAGGAGTGTGAGTGAGAGAGAGACAGGGAGAGAGAGTCAGGATCCGAACTCACGTGGTTGGTGAAATCTAGGATGCATCGGCTAAACATTTTTCACAAAATAGGTCCGACGAAAATGAGAAGTCCGCCGGCATCCGCACTATTCATGTTGTCCGGTTTCACGATATGTGACATTTGGTCTTGGACGCAGTCAACGTTCGAAGATCTAATTCAAGCAAGCATGTTCAGTGAGTCCGTTTCGGCAGAACGTGAAGTTCGGATCCGGCCGGACTTGGTTGTTGTTTAAATCCATGGGGCGCCAGGCGGGCCACGAACATATCGCATGAAAGGTTGAAACCTTAAGTTCGTCGGGATCCGAACTTCACGACGGCGCGCGAGAGAGAAGGAGGCCACTCTCTGTCAAACTCGCAGTCCCGCACTCTGCTGAAGTCCGGATCCTGGCGGACTTCACATTTTCACATATCCTCTGGTGTGGCCGTGGTCTTTGTGTTCGGCGAGTCCATTTTGGTAGAACGTGAAGTTCGGATCCGGACGGACTTGGTTGTTGTTCAAATGCACAGGCCCCTGGGCGGGCCACACACATGTTGAATGAAAGGTGGGAACCTTACGTTTGCCGGGATCCGAACTTCACGAGGGCACGCAAGAGAGAGAACTTGATGCCCTTGAACCGTCTACCGCCCATGGGCGTTTTGCTGTCTGTCGTGCTAATGAGGTCCATAGCCTCCAGACTGACTACGTCCTTCATTAAGGCGAGCCAGTCAGTGTATGCAATGTAGTCCCTGCCCAGGCGACTAGTGAAGTTAGTTGGAACCGCGCCCTTAACCACATCCAAGCAAGATTGAGTAAACAATTTCAAACCAGGAGTGGCAAACAGCTTGCTTAAATAGGTCTCGCGGCTTTTCATGGAGCCATTCCACTTGTTGTGCTTTACTTTGTCTAGTTGAATCCTCGTTTTAGCAGCAACATGCGGATCTTGGTATTCCGAGATAAGGAGCTCTTCGAGGGAGGCAACCGGGGTGGTCCTTAGCCATTTGGCTAGTGCAGCCTTTGGAAACCCAGCCCGTGTTGCTTGGACTTCTAGGAAGCCCCGTACGACTGGCTCGACATTCATTCCCATGATCACCGCCTGATTCTCAGGTTGAGTTCCCAGGATCTCAAAGTAAACCCTCATGGAGCCGATCCAAGACTCGATGTCATCCTTGCTGTCGTACTTAGACGACATTTGTACCGCCTTCCGGTCCACGTAGGGACTGGCGTAGCTGGGACCAGCAACAGCTGGTTCCGGTCTTGGGGCTGCACCAATTGCAGAAGTTCCAGCCTCATTGCTTGTTACAGCAACAGTGGAATCTGCACCTGCCGCAGGTCCCTAGGGGGTTGTCATCACACTCGAAGAAGAGGTAGAAGAAGATACAGTAAGAGGGGCAGACGTAGTTTCGATTGCAGCTTCAGATCCAGGGGGTAGAGGGAGAGGGTTGGCCACTTGGGCTTGTCGCATGTCAGCCACCTCCTTTGTCAAATCATGGTACTTGCGGGTCATATCAGTCAGATCATCCTAACTGATTTGGGTCCAGAGACTCTCCTTGCTTGGGCCCGGTTCCGCTGGGTCCCAAGGGTTCCGCTTGGTCCCAGGGGTCCCACGTAGGTTTCAACCAGGTCCCAACCAAGAGGAGTCCCATCTGAACTTAGTTCAGTCTCAACTGCACTGAAAAACGAAATTTAAACTTCTGGCAGAACCTACAGACTACAACCGTTCAGTGATGAAAAGACAAAGCACTGTAGAAAGACTTGGCATGTATAACAAGATACTTCATTTTCCATCCATCAGGTGAGTAGGTAGATCATGCATTCAGTCACACAATCAAGACCACAGAGAAGTAGGAAAAGAAAGCCAGAGTACCCCAGCAGGTCAATCAATACCATACACACATACATGGGCATCCCGTAGGTGCACGACACTTACCTAAGTGGCCTTGAGCTTCGAGATGAAGAGAACTCACCCCCCTTCTCATATGGTCCTCCTCACCCATCTAACGCTACCCCTACACTAGTGTCCTATCTCCTAGGAGGGTCTGACTCCCAACACCCAAGTGCAACGCCGGATCCCCCGTCGATGCTGAAGAACAAAGTAGCAACTTGCCTCTCTCAAATCGCCGCATGAAGTCTCCTCGAAATGTCTTGCCACCCCAATCTCACTCTCAAGCAACCTGGTTAGGTTCTATGTTGACCCCACATGACCTAACCAGGTGGGGGMAGCTTCCCTTAGCCAYGCTGCCCCACTTCCCTCAACCATCCAACCCTAACCCTAAGTGTTGCCCTCAACCACTTAGGTTAGGGTTAGGGTAGCAAAGTCAACTCTCACCAGCAAGTAGAATCCGCTCYGATACCAATGTTATGACCCTGGCCAATTTCGAGATACACATCCACTGGAAAGTACAATGTCATCCAATTGCAGAAAGAAATGAATGAACTTGAGAGGAGAGAGAGGAGTAGAAGAAGAAGAAGAAGTAAGAAAGAAGAAGAAGAAGATGTACACCAGCAAAGACAATGACAAGACTCTTCTTCTTTGCCCAACAATCTCCTCCTCCTTATCTCCCCCTTCTCTTATTCATACAAGAAATAATAATACAATGTTGAATGACTGGTCTTGAATCATGTTCGAGTCCCTTTTTTACTGCAGGTATCACTCAAGGTCCACCATAGCCATGGCTGCCTCTCCCACTCTTCACACACGTAGGCCGAGGCTATGGCGGACTACTAGGCCTTGCTCCGATGTCCAAAGGACAACCCAAAGATGTCCAAAGGACTACCCAAAGCAGCTATGGCTGCCCAAGCTCAGGCCGCCATGTCCAACCCTGTCTTGAAGCTTCTTGGTGCGGCTCCCCCCGGCTAGGGACTCCTTGCTGCAGCGCCCACCAAGGTGATGAAGATGGTTGCCACCATAGCCAGGTAAGTACCCCTGGCGCTCCTCCCCCTTCCTCCTTCCTCCCTCCTTCTTCCTTCCTCTAGTCCTTCTTCTTCCTCCCCAGCAGTGCAGCTCCAACCCAGCGCTGCTCCTTCCAACGCTCCACCAGTGTGTCGCCGAACTTGCACACCGAAAAAGAGGTCGGTTCTTCCGCCTGGCCGGAAGATATAGCGGCCTGCTTTGCCTCTTGGGCGGTGACTTCCAGCCCGCCGGCCTTCCCCAAGCAACCGGTACCTCCTCCTCCTTTTGGACGGAACATCATTGCAAACTCTAATATTGCCCCTACAGGCCCTAGACTCAAACTGGTACCCGCTAGACCTAGCCTACACTACCGGCCTCTAAAAATGCCACTTTTGTCTTCTTCTGCTCGGCCTCCGGTACCTGCATATTTACCCCCCTGCCGGGTGCGGTACCGGCCTACCCGCTACTTGAGTGTTTTTTCCCCGCTGCAACCCTTCAAAGCCACGGCCACAGGTAAGTACCGGCCCTGGGGGCCCAACGAACGAACAAGTGCCCTGGCGGGCCACACACACGCGCACTCATACCAACCAGCACTCAGACAGACACGGTCACACACGCAAGCCAACCAGCATTCAGACAGACATGCAGTCCAGCAAGCACACACACACACAGACTTAGCAAGCGGGGAACTCAGTAGGGCATTCGGTCTATGAGCAAAACTAAAAAATCAGTTGTGTGTTTCAGTCCGTGTTTGGACGGGTTATCACAGAAGCAGGATTTGCAATTATTGCATGCAATTGTGGTGTCAGGGCAGGGATGGAAAAATCGTGAAATTGATTTTTGCCTGAGTGGTCTTTAAACTGACTCTGACCCTCAAGTGGTCAGCTGAGACTGAGCACTCACTTGCTCAAACTAACCAACCTTCTCTCTCCAGGCAGGTGACGACAATTGAGTTAGTACTGAAGAGAAGTCTCAATTCCTATTACCTCTTGCGCCGTCTTTGAGTATTTGTTTATTTTTATTTATCTGTATTGTGGGTGAACAAAATGACTGATTATGGGAAAGCAGAAGTGTCTAAGCAGGCTGAGACTTCTGAAGAGAAGCCTCAGGTACAGTTAAAGATAACAGTACAGCCCCAGACACCGGTTCTGCTTGACCCTCTATAGGCTGAACTGCGGGCTCAGGAGGAGAAACTTCGCCAGCAGGCCCAGGCAGTTGAGTCTCTGAAGGTCGAGCTGAAGAGGAAGGAGGAGTCTGCAAAAAAAGAAAAGAGAAGGAGAAAACTGACAGTTGATGTAGAGAAGGTCAGGACTAGTGGCAGTTCTAGTCAGTACAATAAGGACATTGCTGAATTCGTCCTTCTGCAGGACGAGATTCATCAGTCCTATTTTACTAATTGGGATGCCAGAATCACGAGTTTGGAAGACAACATGGCTGAGCATACTCAGCAGCTGAGAGATATTTC